ACTAACATATCTTAGAAAAGAGCCCCCGCGGACAAAGGGTAAGGGCCGTGGGGGTCTGAAATGATGCCAGGAGAGCCGGGCATTAATCAGTATTAGCCGTATAAGGAAGGCGGGGTCCCCATAACACCTTCTGGGAAGCGGGGAGACCCAAATGAACCGATCAGGCCAGTACTGTGAAGTCCGGCATAGCCCATAGATGGGAAGGGAGTATGACTGAAGGCAGGCGGGTACCCCAGCGAGCTCTGAGCGTCCGGAGGGGGCAGAACTAGTGGCCCCCAGGGGCCAGTCACGGCCTGGGATGCGGGACGTGCCGAAGAGGTTTCCCCCTCACCGGAGCTGAGCCGCAGCAGCCGTAACAGCAGCAGCAACAGAAAACAACCACCTCGGCCCCAGGGTCTCGAGGCTTCAGGCTCTGCGCTGTGCAGGGACAGCGACAGGGCCATGAGCCACATGGTGCCACCTACAGGCTGTAGAAACCGCCCCGCAAGAGAGACGGCTGGCCGGGCCGCCCCTCCCCCTCCCACAGGCGGAAGGGCCCCTCTAGCACGCAGCGCCTCCTCTCGGATGCCTGAAGGGCACCTCTAGCACGCAGCGCCTCGTCTCGGGTGCCTATCAGACACATCCCCTCTACCCCTACCGACACCTACCCCACCCACGCCCCACCCTTCACCCAAAGCAGTCCTCCAGAACCCCTCCAACTCTGAACCCCGGACAAGTGAGAGTGATGTCTCTGGAACCCCAAACGTATTAACCCACACACTCCGAAGCATTTTTGTTGGTCATGTCCCGCACTACCAACTTGTCTTGAAGATGACCCCAGGGCCTCTGCAGTCACCTCTGTGGTGGGCAGCCCTATGAAAGGTTCGAGTTGAGGACTGTGACCTCAGACTCTGCATGGGAGGGGGACAGTTGGATACTAGACCTGTGACAGTACCGTTCCTGATGGCTCAACCTCTGATCCCATCCTGGCTTTACCTGGTTGGCATTTGGAGGATTTCTCCGTGGAGATGGATTTGAGACTGGGAACGATGGAGAAAGCACAAGGACAGAACAGTAACAGTCCATGAATCAGAGAGGACGTCTTTGAGACCATGACCAAAATTCCACTGATGAATGAGTCTTGAAGGATCCCTGCCCTGGCACTGAACAGCTTGGCGTGGTCTTAGATGATAGTCGGGGCAGATAAAGGAAAACCTGCGGTTCTCACGGGGTGTTTTCATAGCGGTACAGAGAGTATGCTACTGCTTACTACCCTCCTGAACGACCTGGCATGACTTTGTTGGTGAAGTGCCAAGTAAAGGGGGTGCAGGATTCATAAAAGTTCAGTAAACTCCTGCCAGGGGTACACCTTGAAGTCCTGACCTCCACCCAAGTTTTTTGGTCTATTCTTACAGAGAACACCAGAGGAGACAGTGAAGTAAGGTTTTTATTTAGGAAACGGAGGTGGGCTGGGGTGGGAACAGGAAGTATGAGAGAGAGGAAAAGGAAATAGGAAAAGAAAACATTCTTCCAGTAAGAACATGGGTTATTCCACATGGGAGAGAGTCCTGTAAAGAACTGTATATTTCAAAACTGGGACACAGGGATGCTGACAAAATGGAGTTTGCCCCATAAGGAAGTTTGCACACTCAGAGTAGAAGGATGTGGATGAGTACCCAGAACAAGATGGAGTACGCCCTGATTTGTTTGCAAAGCTGGTTTATGGGGTTTTCTAAGCTTCCCCAGCTTGAGGTTCATTACAGGATGTTGTCAAGGAAAGACTAGTGAATTATCTCTTAATGGTTCCATGGTGGTCCCTTAATGTTCCTTGGTGGTCCTGGCATTAGGCTCGCACCTTCAACCTGCAGCTGCAGACAGAACAGGACCTCCTTCTCAAAAGATCATGTTTTGGTTTTCACTTTTTGATTTTGAAATCCAAATGGCCTGTATCTGGGTCTTCTGGGTTTGGCAGAGAATGGAAGATGAGCACCAAGATTCCTGCTTCCTTTGGTATGGCGATCCAGCTCTAGGAACTCCCACCTGATGTCTGAGGGTGTCCACATGATGAGTTCCCACAAATTGGAAAAGAGCAGTAGTGGTGTGTGCCACTCCCACACCAAGGCCAAGATGCCATGGCCTCCTCTACTCAAACTGGAGTCCCAAAAAGAGTAGCCGTGCTTTGTAGGAACTTATTAGAGATGTACATTCTCAGACCCCCAATCTCACCTACAGAATTAAAGACTCCAGGAGCAGAACCAGTGATTTTGTTTTGTTTTATTGTGTTTGTGTGTATTGTGTGTATTGTGTGTATTGTGTGTATTGTGTGTGGGCTGGAGCGATAGCACAGCGGGTAGGGCGTTCGCCTTACAAGCGGCCAACATGGCCGACCCGAGTTCGATTCCTCCGCCCCTCTCGGAGAGCCCGGCAAGCTACCGAGAGTATTCGATATGCCAGACACAGTAACAACAAAGTCTCCAATGGAGACGTTACTGGGCCCGCTCGAGCAAATCGACGATCAACGGGAGGGCCTTTACCTTTACCTTTACCTTATTGTGTTTGCAATGGAGGAATAAAACCCAAGAATTTTTTTGTTGTTGATTTCTGTTTTGGAGAGAACCACATCCATCGATGCTCAGAGATTACTCCTGGGTCTTTACTCAGAAATTACTTCTGGCAGTGGTTGGGGAACCATATGGGATGTCAGGGATTGAATCTGGGTCAGTTGTGTGTAAGGCAAACACCCTACCCACTGTACTATCACTCCAGCCCACCCTCTAGGGAATCCTAATGCACTCAGAATGTGAACCACTGTTCCAACTCCCAATCCAGCACCAGTATCAGCATCTGTCCACCAATGTCCCACAGTTTCCTCCCACTCCCCACCCCACCTCCTTATCTAACTCATTCTTAATTATTTTTTTATTTTTATAGATGAAGACACATGTTTACATTAATGTTGATGCTTAGGCTTTTTATACATACAGTAACCTCATCTCTAAACCACCAAAGGGTCCTGCTCAGTACCTTATGTTACAAGTCTCCCTCCCCCTTATCACCGCCCCATCCGATTGGGAATAGTATAGGGGGGTAAGTCAGATTTATTTAATTCATAGTTATTCAGTGCACTTATGACTGTTAGTTCCAAACACATTAACAAACTGAGTTTATATAAGCACTCAGTCTCCCAACCCTGACTTCTCAATCAACATGAGGGCTAACACAATCTGATCTCTGAAACCCATAGAAACCTAGAAGTTAAGACACTGATCCCTATAAGGCCAGAGGATGGAGGGTAAAGGAACTATCAGCACCTAGGAGAACTCTAGAACACTTGACCTTAGAAATCAGGTAAAGAAACCATGCCTGATTCAATGAAACTCTACTGTATCCTCCCTGTGGATGGAAAATTTTTGCTCAAAAACATAGGGGGCAGTGGTAACACAGGGGCTATAGAAGCAAGTAAGAAGCAGAGAAATACTCTCTTGACTCAGCATTACTCTTGATCCCATTCTCAAGAGATCCATTATACTGAGCAGCAAAGTCTGTTAAACTAAGCTGCAGATAACCCTGTGAATATGTGAGTGACTAAGAAGTGATCAGGGCCCAGGATACCACCCCCTTTCCTAGGACTGACATCTAAGCAGGAGTAACCCAACTCTGACTCTAGGTTAATAATATCCTTAAATAATTTCTCAGCTAAATGGGAAACTAGTAGTCTACAGCAGTTGTTCACACTCACAGTTACAAACATCAGTTTGCAACCTTTTCACATAGCAAACATATATGATGGACCACATAGGCAGAAACTTTAAAACATCATTTAAAATAAAAATATTTAAGAGTTGGAGAAATAGCACAGGGGTTAAGATGTGTGCTTTGCACGTGAGTGACCCAAATTTGATCCTTGGCACAAAACAGTCCCCCTAACATGCTGACACAGCCTTGGAGATTCTTGATTATTGTTGGATATAGCCCTGATGACACATTAGCTACCATCACAGTGGCCTGGATAATCTCCAGAACTGCAGGACCCAGGCAGCACCACATCCTCAGGTCCTTGCAATGAACCACTGGCTTAGTTGGCTGAGAATTGCCAGGAGGCGTCCTAAGGTTTTGTTAGCACTATTTGATACTCTCAAAAGAAAATAACTATTTTTGTATCAATATTTACATATTAATATTTGAAACAGTACCATTACATGAACCAGGAATACCCTGGGTTGGGCAGCAATCAATTTTTTGTGAACCAGAAGAAAATCTTTGTAGATGGGCACCAGTCAGTGGAAAGTTATTTTTCTCCAGAGTATATTCTACGCAACCCATGACCTTCAGAGACCAGACATGCAGAACAATGATATTTATTTGGTTGATTTCTGAAACCTTAAAACTACAGAATAACCCCCACAGAGCTTGATGTGAGTTTGCCTGTGTTACTAGGGCAGTGAGGAAGGAGGGTCCACACTGGATTGCCTCAAGGGGAGGGTGTGGCAAAGGCTGAATGCTCATCAATAAACCCACACTGGGTGCATAGGAACTTCTCTCAGCCCCACACAACTGGGAAGATGCAGAAATTCTGGGCTTCATACCTCAGCAAGCCCATGAAAGGCCACAAATTCCCTATAAACAATCTCCCAACAGTTCAGCTGCAAACCCCTAAAACCACAACCATTTCTAATGCTGTTTCATCACTGGTGAGCTCAATTCTTTGGCAGATGTTCTCCAAGGTGTAATGAAGCATCCTGCTCCTTCAGCAGGCAGGCTGGGTCTCTAGCAGAAACAGCTGTAGCCCTCCTTGCAGTTCACAGAATACAGCCACAGTGCAGGGGTGACAGAAGCTGGTGATGTAAGCATGCAGCTAGGAGACTAGGACTTCATTCTTACTGCCACTCCCTCTTATTTTGATCTCACAGAGTCAATAATGCCAACCAGAATTTGGAGGAGGACACTGACGAGAAGTGGGAGGTAAGAGAAGAGAACTAGTGGGACATTTAGGAGGAGGAGACAAACGGGCTGGATCATCATCACAGGGTGACTAGGAGACCCAAAGGCAGCACCAGAAACAGTGGTGAGAAGCCCACTGTGTCACAGGAGGATGCATACCTTATGTGATAAATGATCCAGTCCTTAAATAAACTCACATCTGTATAAATAGTGGGAAATCTTGAGGTACCACATTTTATGCCCCAGCTCACAATGCCCATTTGGAACCACGTGTCATTAATTGCACAGACCAGGGGGCCCCCAGAATCTCCCTGGAGAAAGAAAAGAAACACAAGAATGTAAAATGATCAACTTCAGAACAGACTAATCGGTCTGCCTGGTGCAAGGCAGAGAGGCACCCATGGGCCTTCCCCAGCACATCCACCAGACACAGTATCAGTGATTGAAACTTGAAAGGTGAAAATTTTAAGCAGAAAATTAAATAACCTCTTAAACATACTACTTCTTCCCAGAATTAAGGGATACATGAATACTGAAAACAGTAGGCCTGGTAACGAGAACATCTGATAGCATATTGCAATTGACTTGGAAAGCTCAAAAGCTCCACTACCCCTCTCACCCCCTCCATGATCCTTTCCAAAGCCCCCATGATCCACCAACTAAAGGGATGTCCTGGACAGTAAGCACCCTCCAGAATCCCAACTCCAGCTTGAAGGCCAACCCGCCTCTCTGGTCATCCTATCACCTCATTATTCCAGTTCTTTTTAATGTTACTGTTATTTCGTTTTGTTTTTGCTTGGTTGGTTGGTTTGGTGCACACTTGGCAGTGTCCAGAGATTACTCCTGGCTCTGTACTCAGAAATTACTCCTGCCAGTGCTCAGTGGGGGTCATGTGGGAATTGAACTCAGATCAGCCATGTGCAAGGATAGAACCTAACCCACTATTGCTCCGGCCCCTCACTATTTCAGTTCCTTATAACAAAATCTCAATTTGAAAAGTTCCCTCTAAACTCAATCAGCTATTCCTTCTCACTACAGCGTTGTTTTCCTTTTCCCCAGAAATCCAAATACTCTTCCTAAAACACAGTTCAAAGTCCCCTTTTCAGGAAGGCAGCTGGAGTCCGCGGGAGACTGCAGCAGTCTTGCAGGCACTCAAGAAGAGGGCCTGACTGTCCTGTCTCTGAACCTCCCCGCAATGTGCAATTGCTATGAATGAGGTCTACATGCAGGGTGTGCTGTGGGTAAACACTGACTCAGTGAGTACCAACAAGAGGAACTCAATTAAAGAAATGGATAGAGCACTACCAGCCCCCATAACATTCTGGAAGTTCTCATCCCCAAACCCTTAGCTCAATGCAACAGAAACTTCTCTGTTCTAGAAAATCTGGGACCTCTCAAAGCAGCCATCAGGAGTTCTCCCTATTAATCTACTTAATTCAATAAGGGGTTTCAGGTGAAGTGGCAAATGAGTCCTTCACTGCCATTCAGATGAAAAGACTCAGAAGGGGCAATAGTACCAGGGATAAATGAACTTACAAAGCAGGGGGTGTTCTCCTTATAAGTGCCACAGATCATCCCTTTATGAACTAAGTTCCAACGAATTTTAAGGACTTCCTGAAGTATTTTATTGCAGTGCTTGTATTCAAGAACAATTTGTTCAACTTCCTGTAGTTGTGCTGGAACTGAGTCTGAAAACACAGAGAGGCAACATGGCAGTGAGGACAGGACAGGAGTCCCAGGATCCACTCCGAGTCTTCATCATGCATTCACATTCTGTTGTCCCCATTAAAGCCAAGTAGCAAGGAGAGAGGATGACATAAACAGCAAAGCCAACAGGATGAGAACAATCCTCCAGTTCTCAGAGGCAAAGCCTCATCTCCTGAAACTCAAACCAAGCACCTGTGACACTGAGCTGCAATAGTAATCAGAACAGGAGCTGTCTGCAGAGCAGACCCAAAGACTCTCAGATGAGTGAGAACCTTGCAGCCCCTTCCCAATACAGAAGGCCCTACAGTCACAGGCTAGCCCTAGCTCCTCCTACACTCGGGGCTATGAAAGGTCCCCTCTTAGCAGGCAACTTGTTCAAACAGGGGCACCCACCGTATACAGGTCAGCCCCCAGAACTGAAATCCACCCTGGACAATACTCCCATCCTGGCACCAGGAGCCCCAGATTCTACATACCACTAGAAATGCTTCCTCCCTTACCCACCTATTAGAGAAAGTTCTCCCAGTCCCTCCCTTAGCCTTCAGGCCTGCCCAGAACTTTGTCCCAGATTCCCCTCCAGCAGCTTTCTGCTTCCAGACTCACCATTGATTCTAATTTTTCCCCATCCTGTCACCCAGCACAGAGTTCCTGATTGTATTGCCTGAGATGGTTCTGGGAGGCATACAGGCAGGACGGATGGTGTAAAAGTCACAGAGAAATCTAGCAGGACCAAGGCAATGTCAAAACGCAAATCTGTCATCTCAAAAGAGTTATGGATAACAATGTCTCGAACCGAAGCCAGAATTGTTGTATTGGTATTATTAAATACCAATGTGTCTCCCATCTTCACCAAATAATCATTGTGGCTGTGGGAAAAACACATGCACCTCAGAGAGATGTGGGAGGGCTCCCCCTCTTTCACACCTTCCTGTTCTGTCCAGCCTGGCTCCATCCTGCATGGAGTCCTCAGCCCATCCCTCCCAGGTAAACACACCTCCCTGGACCCCAACCCACTCCAGCCGCTGTTGTTCCAAGTGAGAATCCTAGACCTCCACCAGCAGCACTTGGAACTTGGAAGAAATGCCAAATCTCTGGTTAAAACTAGGGGCTTCTGAGCGCCATTTGCAGGTGAGCAAAAAGCAGCTCTGTGAAGAGTCTAGACTATAACCAGTGTGTGCACATGTACACATATGCGCGCGCGCACGCACACACACACACACACACCCAACCATGAACCCAGGTCCAAGGCTCTCAGGAAGTGAAAGCATATGTCCAAAGACAGGCGTATGAATATTTTGTGTAACATTATTCACAGAAACTAAAAAGTGGCAACAAACGGGATATCCACTCATTGGTCATAGAAAAGCACACGATAGTTTATCCAATTATGCTACCTACAGGGAGACCTTGGAGGGGTTCCCCCAAGTTAGGAATCCCAGAACCCAGAGCACTCACCCAGCAATGCAGTGAGCAGCCGTCAGCACCCACTGCCCGGCGATGAGCGAGCCTCCGCATATGTGTCTACCGTTGACACTCAAACTCACCTGCCAGGGCCATGCTTTCTCATGGGCTGGCCTTCCACCAAAGATCCTCATATCTCGTTTGCCACATCCTGGTTAGCTCAGTGGAGAAAAGGACAGCAAGTGGAGCAGCCGCACCCCTTCCAGCTCCCCTCCACACCCTCCGGGGAACCACCAGGTCTGAAGTGCCAGCTGCAGTCAGGCGCGACTCACCTTTCATACTCCCGTGAACTGGAGTCACACTGAGAGCTGGAAGCCTGGGCGGGCTGGGGGGCGCGGGGGGCGAGGGCCTCTCTGGGCTTGCGGGGGTCAGTCCAGAGGAGCCCGCACCTGAGCAGAGAAGGCATGAGGACAGGGTCACCCCAATGGCCTCCTCCCCTGCCTCGCAGGCCGGCCCCACACTGCCCACTCCCACCACTCCGCCCCGCCTGCTGAGCGACCCTGCCAGGCCCGCCTTACTCGGGGGGACCTGAAGGAGCAAGAGGCAGAGCCCGAGGCCCAGGGGGCCAGCGCCACTGCGGGGACAGCTCGCCATGGCCACGTCTCCACCAGCCTGGCGCCAGCTTCCGCCCTGCCCTGGCGTGACCGGAAGTGGGGTGGACCAGCCTGCTCCCCCGCTCCCGCTGGTCCAGGCCACGCCGCATCACGGGACCCCCGCCACGGGCCCCGGACCTCGCCCACGTGAAACCGCGGTTCTGAACGGCCAACCCGACGCATGGCCAGGCCCCTGCCCACTGCCACTGGCACCAAGGCCGGGCCAGCGAGAAGCAGAGGGACCGGGGCTGGCGCTCCGGGTGTCCGAGGCTCAGGGCTGCACCTCTGCAGAGGGCGAGGGGCTGGGGGAGACACTGAAAACATACTCAGCAGCGCTGATTCTCCTGGCCAGGAACTGAGCCCTCAGCTCCCCACTGGGGAAAAGCACCCGTAGTCCTGGGGTCCTGGGTTGGGGTCCACCAGCTCTGCTGCGAGGGTCTCCTAGACCTTAAGGAGGAAAAAACAAAATGGATAAGCAGGAAATGAAAAAAAAAATAAGCTAAAAAGAGTGGGATGGTAATTTTCTTATATCATATAGCGTCTAAGACTGTAACAGACAGGATTTATGTTGACAAGAATTAAGAATCAAGAAGGGACTGGAGAGATAGCATGACTAGGGTTCAATTCCCTGCACCCCATATAGTCCCCTCCTAATTCCCACCCCACCCCTGCCTCTCACCCCCCAGCTCACCAGGAGTGATCCCTGAGCTCAGAGCCAGGAATCAGCTCTGAAAACGAAATTGATAAGCAGGAAATGAGAAATAAGCAAAAGAGAAAGGAATGATAATTTTGTTATCGCTGCATTTAGCATTTAAGACAAAGACTGTGACAGGATTTATCTTGACAAGGAATGAGAAAGAATCAAGATATTAATGATAAACGCATAGTAAATAAAGCAAAAGAAAAAAACGTAACTGGTGTTTTTCATATTCTTCATTTAAGAAGACAATATCTAAAACCAGAAGAAAGTCACTGCACTTGGATATGCAAAATTAAGGAATACAAAATATTTGGCTTTCAAGTAATAATCGTACATAAATAGTAATGTGATGAATTTTCATTTCCATCAGAAAATGCTCATTCTTATTTTAAACAAGGAAACATTAGGTAACACACCACAAAAGCAAAACCAACATACTCAGGATCAGCGTTAGACAGACTATGTTCTTGAATATTATCAACAAAATTCTTATATATCTGAATCAAAGACATACCTGAACAATGATTTTAGCATTTTCAATTAGACCCAAATAAGGCAGAAAAAGAAGAAAATTGTTTTTAAAATATCAATACAGTTAACACAAAAAATAGATAACTGATGACACCTTTAAATAAACTATACTAATGTTTATTTTAAATGCAAATGGTATAAAGACTCATTAACATCATAATGATTTTTTTTTTTTTGCTTTTTGGGTCACACCTGGCGATGCACAGGGATTACTCCTGGCTCTGCACTCAGGAACCACTCCTGATGGTGCTCAGGGGACCATATGGGATGCTGGGAATAGAACCCTGGTCAGCCGCTTGAATGGCAAATGCCCTACCCGCTGTGCTATCTCTCCAGCTCCCATAATGAATATTTTTAAAAGCAGGAAGTAATTCTATATTACATAACTAAATAGAAAATTTTAGATATTAAAGGTTAAAGGGTGGAGCGATAGCACAGCGGGTAGGGCGTTCGCCTTACAAGCGGCCAACATGGCCGACCCAAGTTCGATTCCTCCGCCCCTCTCAGAGAGCCCGGCAAGCTACCGAGAGTATTCAATATGCCAACGATCAACAGGAGGGCTTTTACCTTTACCTTTACCTTTAAAGGTTAAAGGGATGGACAAAAACATTCCATGCAAACATAAACAGAAAAGAAGGCTAGACTAGCTCTACCTATTTCAGAAAGAGGAAACTTTCAAGTACCTAAATTTACCCAGGCTGTAGTGAGACATTACCAATAGGTCAGAAATGAGGACAACTGAATAAACAATAAAGTAAAAACATGGAGAAAGAATGATGAAAGTTATCTCCATATAGGCATGGAGGGCTTAGGTAAATCTCAGCCCCAAAAAATGAGTGTGAGAGGGGCTGGAGCGATAGCACAGTGGGTAAAGCGTTTGTATATTTATATATGTGTGCATATATATATATATATACATATATGCATACACACATTTATTTATTTGTAAAAGAAACAGTAAGATTTAGTCATTTCTGGCAGATTTTTCTTTAGGTGGTCAAATATCTAAGTTGCTGATTTATATGTCTGTTCTGAAGCAATATGCAATGTTCGTATGTACAGGAGTCTGCTGATTTACTTTCAGTGTCTTGTGTGCAATTTTACTAAAAGAATATTCTTGTTCCTTGTATTCTTTTTTTTAAAAATAATGTAGGAGTACTGCTATTTGTTCAGCCATTGATTAAGCTGATTGAATTGGGCATGAACTCCACATTGCTTTTTTATTTTATTGTATCACCGTGAGAGTTACGAAGCTTTAATATTTAAGATTCAGCCATACAATGATGGACACCCATCCCTCCACCAGTGCACATTTTCCACCACCAATGTCCCAAGTATCACCCTTCCACACACACACATACACATTGCAGTCCTCACCCTGCCTCTATGGCAGACACTTTCCCCAATACTCTCTCTCTCTCTAATTTGGGGCATTAATTTCACTCGAATTTTCCCACCACCATTCAAAGCCTACCTGCCAGGGACAGACGCTAGATAACATATTTTCCATAGCTCATTTCAAATATCATGAGAGCTCACACAGCCGCAATTGTAAATGTAAATTTCTAGATTGTAAATTGTTAGGTTCCAGAGACATCTCTGTATGGAACTAATGCATTTTGGGATTCAATTGGGAGTCTCTGGGCCAGGGCTATTGATGTGCTAATATGCACTATTGGTGTGCTAAAATCTGTCAGCTAAACTCGCATCTCAAGAAATAACAGAAGATAGGGCCAGTGTAATAGTAGAGTAGGTAGGACGCTTGTCTTGCATGTGGCTGGTCTGGGTTTGATTCCTGGCATTCAACATGGTCCTCCAAGTACCCCAGGGAGAATTCTTGAGTGCAGAGGAGTAAGCTCTAAGTGGCCACAAAAAAAAAAAAGAAAGAAAGAAAGAAAGAAAGAAAAAAGAAAATAACAGAAGAGTAGTCTAATATTATAGAAAGAAGAAAAACAGAGCAAATATCAATAAAACAAAATTAAAGCTTAAACATTAAAATCAGAGACTTTGGGACTGGGGAGATAGCACAGTGGGTAGGGCGTTTGCCTTGCACATGGCCAACCCGGGTTCGATTCACAGCATCCCATATGGTACCCTGAGCACTACCAGGAGTAACCCCTGTGCATCGCCGAGTGTGACCCAAGAAGCAAAAGAAAAAAATTTAAATAAAAAAATTAAATCAGAGGCTTTTCCTTTTAAAAAATTAAAGATCAAACAAATTTCCAATATCAGAAAAGAAAAAGGAATAAAAGGTAAAAAATAATATAAGGTTCTCCATCCTATACATTTAATAGCATATGTGCTATTAAAGACAAACCACCAAAAATCACACAAGGAGAAGTGAAATATCTGAACAACCCTATAGTGCTTAATATTAAATTTTATTAAATATCAAATTTTACTTAGTATTTAGTATTGTATTGGTAGCCAAAAAATTGATCCAGGTATCTGCTTCACTAGTAAATAATACCATCTATTTAAGGAGTATTTAAGGAATCCACAAGCCCCTCACAGAAAATAGAAAGGGAGGAATCCTTCATGACTGGTGTTTTGGGACCTGCATTACATAGGTCAAGACTACACAGGCATGTTACAAGAAAAGTCAACTGAAAGACAGCTGGTCTTGATTGAGTGAAACATAGGTAGAACTCTCCAGGACACAGACCTCAGAATTGCATTCAGTGAGTTGACTCCAAGACTAGAGAGATGCGTAAAGGCTAAAGTACTTGCTGTGCATGCAGCCACTCCAGTTCAGCCTCCAACAAGGCATGATTTCTGAGCACACCCAGGAATGAGCACAGAGCTCAGAGAAACCCCTGAGCACCATGGGGGGTGTCCCAACTCCCTCTCCCAATGATTTGGTTGCATTGGTATGAAAAAGCAAAGTAAATAAATCGGACTACATCAAATTAATTTTTTTTTCTGGTCCACATTCAGTAATGCCCAGGGTTTACTCCTGGCTCTGTGTTCAGAAATTATTCCTGAAGGTGCTCAGGGGACCATATGGGATGCCAGGAATGGAACCCGGGTTGGTCACATGCAAGGCAAATGCCCTACCCTCTATACTATCTCTCCAATCCCTTAAAAAGTTTTTAATGGCAAAACAAACTTGGACTAAATTTCTTTTTAAATAAAGCCTACTGAATGGGATGAAATCCTTGCACACAATACCACAGATTCAAGACAGATATTCAAGATACATAAAACCCACACAATGTTCAACAATGGCAAGAAGAAAACAATAATCCCATCAAAAATGGGAAGAAATTAACAGACATTTCTCCAAAGAAAACATACAGACTCCAATATG